GAAATACTAAACGTTAAGGAGTTTTTGGCCCAAACTTGCGCTTCACTTGAGCTAAACATATCAACCGACGAGTTTAGTGCGATGGCTATTAAAGAATATGTGAGTGAGCCTGCTCAATTAATGCCAGGGGTGGACAGGTCAATAAAACATCTATATAAACACGATATACTGATGGCCATCGCCACCAGTACGCCTAACATGTCGTATAACGCAATGGTTGGCGATTTAGTGCCATATTTTGACAAATATATGACACACTGTGTATGCGGTGCTAAAGATCCAGAGGTTAAGCACAATAAACCGGCGCCCGATGTATACCAGGTGTGCGCCAAACGGTTCGCATCGCCGTCCGAATCGCCGCACAATTGCGTGATATTTGAGGACTCGTTGACTGGTATTACCGGTGCTGTGGCTTCGGGTATGACTACTGTCCTCATCAATGATACCATTGATAATAGATTTGATGAAATTGTGGGTAAAGTGACAGCAATTGTGAAAGGTTTTGAAGAGTTTAGACCCGAATCCGTTGGATTACCGGCTGATGAGTAAATCATATTTTGTGTGGGAATTAATTATTTGTTAAACTATACAACTATTTAATTAATATTGTATTGTATAAATATTATAATAAAATTAAATTATGGATTTATAATTAGTCTTGTAACTTTATTTAAAATATTTAATATTTAAATTAATTATGTGAAACATAATATAGAATTAAAACTGAATTTATATAGCAACAAAATAACCAAATATTTTGTCCATATTAATTAACTTTCATTTTAGTTACCGCTGTGCAAACTTGCCATATATTTCAAAAGGTTGGATGTTGTGGGTAGATATTACTTTTACACCATAATATTTATAGACAGACTATTTATTATGTTTGTTGTCATGTAAGTACTGTTTTAATTATAATATGTTATGTTTTATAAAAATATTTTAAACATTTAATTTAAACAAGATTGCAAAAATTTGAGGAATTTATAAATCTATTGTTTATAAATCTTTATAATAATTCAAGAATGAAATTAAAGTAAAGTTGACTAAATCAGCAAGCTTGTCATAATATATCTATTGATTGATAGATTGTCAGATTATAGCTTTACATTGTTAATTAAAACTGTATAATTTACTATCCAACTATATTACAAAATTAAATAATTAAAATATTTATAGCGTTTGTAAAATAATGTGTATGATTGTTTTGGTGAACGTGATCAATTTGCCCAATGATCATGATCCATGACGGTTTCCCTTCTATCTAAATCAGGTTTAATAATTAAATTAGAAAAGTTATTAAAACATTTACAAAATTAAAAGCATATTTACTTTTTTTAATACTATTGATGTAACTATTGATGTATAAAACTTATCATAAAATGATAAGTTACATAATTTATAATTAAACTTATATTTGAAAGTTCTTAATAGCTAGTATTCATTTTATTTAATAATTGACTTAATTATACGCGAGACCACAATGTAGCCCTAGTGCAATTTCTAATAACTACAGCAATACAGTACATTACAATAAAATTAATTAATTAAATAAATTCCGTTATATTTTTAATTAAATATTATATGTAACAATTTTAATTAATTTAAAACTATATTGAATTATAAACATATTTGCATGTTTTCAAAACAAAATGTCTATTAATGAGACAATGTTAAACTCAAATATATGGGCTTAAATTAATTACCTAAATGTTTTACTATTATTGCTAATGATAACAATAACCACTTTTTAAAATAATTTATTACCTAGTATACTTCTACGCCAACCTAAGCAACTATCCGCCGGTCTGACGTCTCCGCCATTAATTGCAAATATATTACGTAAATATAAAATAAATTTATAAATATAACATTTAATTGAATAATTGTAATATAAAGTGTTTGAAAGTACGAAACTGCACTGGAATGACCACTTCAGACAGTTCTACCAAACATACGGCCCGGCAGTGACCGTATGGATCGACCCAAACCAGTAGTAATCATCGGCGACTCGATGTCACTAAACAGGCATTTTCTCGGCCAGAATTCATGGGACGAATTGACATTTTGTTGTGTATGTGAAAACAGAATTGCATCATGGTACATTTATAATCAACTTTTATTGTTTTTAGCGCGTATTTTCAACAATACTGATCACCATGATGTTTTATTTAGCTCACACACCTATACAGTTGGGAATGTTTGCGCAAGGTCGCTCACACGGCAGTCAGGTATGGAGCGACTATTAAACTAGTGCAAATATTAATTGTAATATGAACTATAACAGAATTATCATGTCATTTGACTGGTCAATTAAAAACTACATTTTTCTTACAAAAAACTACAAATTGATCTAATTTAGTTTATTTTTGTTTTTATAAATCTAGAAGTTTTAATACAAATCATATCAGATAATAACGATTATCCTTTTCTTATGCCTTACAACATATGATTTCTAACTTTCCATTTGATGCTTCATTTCTACATACTAAATTTTGAATAAAATCAAATATATAATAGATATCAAAAAATTGTAAATATACATTTTAGATATTTATAAATGACAGATCATATTAAAATTTGAGCAAAAAATATTCATAATTGTGGCCACAATTTAAACAAGGTTCACACGCGATGCTATGCGTTAACCACAATTCGGGAAATGAATCAAAAGACTTTAAAATTTTAAATACGATTGTTGGAATACTTTCACTATTGTTATTTTGAAAATGTTGAATGTTTTTTACAAAAATTAGTTCTACTTACATAGACTTATCATTGTCCATAGACTTAGCATTACCCATGTTATTCC